TCTCTCCAAGAATGGGGAAACCATAGCAGAAGGAACAAAAATGAAGAACTAGATTAAACCATGATACAAAATAAATATAAGTGACACCATACTCTCACCTTTCCCCCTCAAAATAAACCCTCTCCACACCTCTCAATTATCTTAGCATCTTCCTTCCGCAAGGTTCAGTGAATGCCCCTGAAAGCCATCCGCAGAGTGCCTCCCACTGTGAAGCTTTACAGAACCACTCTTCACATAGTGCTGACCTGACCCCTCTGCTGTTGGAGCAGGGCCCTGCCCTCAGACTCATAAGGCCAAAGGTGACCTTGAAAATGGACCAGCTGCTCCACAGAATGACGTTTGTGGGAGCTGCCAGATTAGAGCCACCCTACAAGGCACATGTGTGGTTTTATATCCATCCTCCTGGAGACCCAAAAGTCATCTAAGTGAAGAAAAGAAAGTGTGCCTACAGTGGGCCCAACACTGTTCTAGGCTCCCTTAAAAACATTTAATCCTCATAGCTTTATAGGTGCTTTCATCCCGTTTTGAAGATGAGGAAGAAAAAAAAGATGAGGAAAGCTGATTCTCAGAGAGTTTAAGTAACTTGCCCCACAATGAACAGCTAGCATGCTGGAAAGTTGAACTTCCAGCTCCATGTCTTTCTGATTCTAAAATAAGTGCTATTTCTACCATATGTTGCTTTTCTGGGTGATTCTAACTGTAACTTTAATGGTAGGAATTTCAGCCATTATGGTAGAGCAGGAAGAATTATTTTCAGCAAAGAACCTCTTGGGGCCCCTCATTTCAAGCCATGTAAGCAAGTGTCCTGCATCCTGGGTGTGTGAATTTCCCCTTCCAACTCAGGGGTGGTGCAGATGGCTAGTACAGAAGCCCAGCTGTTATGGCCCGTACTGCCCAGCAGGGGTCAGACTGGCTCCAGCCAGCACAGCCGGGAGGGGGCTCCTGTCAGAGCCCAGTTTCTCAACCTGGACATTACTGACATTTGGGCAGGGTTATTCCTCGTTGCAGGGGCAAAGGAGGGCTGTCCTGTGAGTTGAAGGATGTTTGGCAGCACCCCTGCTCTCTGCCTGCTAGATGCCAATAGCAACCCCCACCCCCACCTCAGTTGCAACAACCAAAAGTGCCCCCGGACATTGCCAAATATCTCCTGGAGGGCCAACTGCACCCGATGGAGAACCATGGGGTTAGAGGATGAGGAGATGTTGGAACATAGGATTCTAGCAGGAGGGTAGCCACTGTTCTTGGGGATGGAGAAACTGCAGCTGCTGAGGACAAAATAAGAAACATACGGGCAACAGGAGAGATTTAGATTAAGTGTAACAAAGACCTTCTTGACAGTGAAGGCAATTAGGAAATAAAATTGGGTATCTCTGGAGAACTGTGAAATCCCGTCAGAGATTTTTCACTTGTATAAACGAACTAAAGAGAATAGAACATAATAACCTCTCAGAGGACCTCGAGTCTCCACCTTGTTTTGGACCCTTGACAGTTTCCTCTTTGTAGGAACCAAACCCAACAACCTTCCGCACTGAGACTTCTCCCTTCATCCACAGGAACTGCCCGGGGCATTGTGATCGCCACAGGAGACTCCACCGTGATGGGCCGCATTGCCTCTCTGACATCGGGCTTGGCGGTGGGCCAGACCCCCATTGCTGTTGAGATTGAGCACTTCATCCATCTGATCACAGCGGTGGCCATCTTCCTTGGTGTCATTTTCTTTGGGCTCTCGCTCATCTTGGGCTACACCTGGCTGGAGGCTGTCATTTTTCTTACTGGCATCATTGTGGCCAATGTGCCTGAGGGGCTGCTGGCCACGGTCACTGTGAGTAGCCAGGGTAGAGGGGGGCCCCAGGGTAGATAAACCACCCCAAGGAAATGAAATCACTAGTATCTCTTGCGGTTGAACCTCTCAAGTGCCGAGTACTCCCGATACGTATGCAGACCCCTCAGCTCGCAAATTACATTGACTTCCTCCACTCAGATCTGCTGGTGCCTTCCCTTCCTTCTCAGTGGGAAAGGAAGTGAGTTTCAACTCAGAAAGCATTGGATTATAAATCAGCGAGAATGAGTTCCAGTCCTGGCTGGTGAACTTGGCCAACTCACTTTACTCCAGGCTCCAATTTATTCATCAGTTTATAGAGGAAGATTAATTTAGAATTACAGAATCTTATTGGAAAAGACTTCAAGGTCCATATAAATTCAACCTTTCAACCAGTGCCAAATATCCTGAATAAAATCCCTGGGAGGTGATGATGACACCTAGCAACGGGAAGCCCACCTCTTTTTTTAACCTCACCTCATTGCGTTGTTGGATTTGCTCCAGTTAGATTTCACTGTGTTGAGCGAAATCTAATCTCAGTTTTCCCATCTGAAGATACACAAAATATGTCAGTTCTCTCTCTTCTACAAACTACCCTTTAGATTTTTTTTTAACAGTAGCCATCATGTCCCCTCAAACTTTCCAGGTGGGAGGTCAAACAATCGCTTTGCCCTTAGCCCTTCTTCCTATGACGTGGTCTTCAGACCCCTCGTCTTGTTGATCATCTGTTTGGGTTATGCTCTCCTTTATCGATATCCTTCTTAAAATGGAAATGAGAAGGACACTCAGGGTGTGGCCGGACTAGAAAAAAACACCAGGACTCATTATGTAAATAAATAATAACCCCACAAATAGAATTCTATACATAACCTCAGCCTTCATTCAGTCACTTTTAAAACAACCTTGCCACACACCTGACTTTCACTGAATTTATGGCCAACAAAGATCTTCTGGTTTAAATGATTTCTCATATCCTTTTCAGTGCTGCAACAGCCCTTCTGAATTTCCTCATTCTCTCCTCTCCATTCCTTTTTAAAAGAACTTCGATGTGTTTATTTATTTTGATGGCAGTACTGGGGATTGAACCCAGGACCTTGTGCATGCTAAACACACGCTCTACCACTGACCTGTACCCACACCCCTCTCCATTTCTTTTTAAAACTATTGGTACAACCCCCCACCACACACAGCATTTTATACCATACTGAAAGGTTAGCTATCAGTGTGGTCCCTGGGAAGACTGGCTCTGAGAAAAAGGTGTGGCCTGAACTTGAATGAAGAAGAAGCTGCTGAAAAGAAAAGAGGAAAAGATGACGGGAAAGGAATATCCCAAGAGGGACCAGAGATCCGCCTCTAGGATACCCGGGTAAAGGAATGCACTCTTTTTTTTTTGAAACTCTGCCATAAAACACAAACCAAAATCATTTTCCTAATTTCCTCTGCTGTAGCCACAGATGCGATTTCTAAAGACTAGGTGGTAACAAAAGGGAAGTCAGTACCAACAATTAAAAGAGCAATCAAAACGATCAGATTTCCAAAACACAAAGGGCTGTGAGCAGCCAAGCTCTTCTCTCCATTCACCCTCTCCCTTCTTCACGGCCTCAGGTGTGTCTGACCCTGACAGCCAAGAGCATGGCTCGGAAGAACTGCCTGGTGAAGAACCTGGAGGCGGTGGAGACGCTGGGCTCCACCTCCACCATCTGCTCTGACAAGACGGGCACCCTCACCCAGAACCGCATGACCGTCGCCCACTTGTGGTTTGATAAGACCATATATGAGGCCGACACCAGCGAGGAACAGACTGGTGACTGGCAGTGTTGGTGGGCGGGGAGTGGGAGGATCTGAGGGAAGTGATGAGTGAGCTGAGAGGGCGCGGTGAGTCCAGGAGGCGAGAAGAGTGCTGGAAAGTGAGAGGAGAGCTGGGAGGCGTGGAGGAAAGGAAATGTCGTCTCTGTGAAGTATTTGGGTGCAGAACAGGCTGTGAAAAACACCCTGCTTTAAACGCTCCTCTCCCCTGCTCACAGTTCTGTTCTTTCTCCCTAGGGAATACATTTAGCAAGGACTCCGATACCTGGTTGATCCTGGCCCGAATCGCTGGCCTCTGCAACAGGGCTGAATTTAAGGCTGATCAGGAGACCCTTCCCATAGCTAAGGTCAGGCCTAAGAGAGTAAAGGGTACCTCCATGTCCAGGGTACAACCTACCCTCTCCCCTCAAGGTCTCTTTCCTGGCCTTCAGTGATGCCCCCCCCCAAACCCCACTCCTGGTCACCATGGGAAGCTCAGGTTCCATGCCCCTCGGGCTCCTGATGCAAACCCCATTCTGGCAGCGGGCAACAGCAGGGGATGCTTCCGAGTCAGCCCTCCTCAAGTTCATCGAGCAGTCTTACAGCTCTGTGAAGGAGATGAGAAAGAAAAGCCCCAAGGTGGCAGAGATCCCCTTTAATTCTACCAACAAGTACCAGGTACTGAACCCACAAAGGTAGGAGAATAGCTGTGGGGGATGGGCTTGTCTTTTAGAGAAACGGGAGCTTTGCCTTTGCCTTGACATTGAAAGTCTGAGCTGTAGAACGGGTAAGGGCAGATAACCAGCCCCAGTTAAGAGGAAGGCTCACTTCAAGGGAAAGTGACGAATGGCTTGGTGGGGGCGGTCTTGGGGGAAGACAGGTGTAGTTGACAGAGTAAGAGGCATTGGGTCCTAAGCAGGCTACACCACGGGTGCAGAGAACAGTCATAAAGTGCCCTGTGAAAGGTCCACAGGCAGCAAAGCCTGGCTGGGGAAGGTCACATCACAGTCTTGGGCAGCTGTTAGGAGGCTTCTCCGTGGCTCCTGTGAGATTTGCCACAGCAGAATATGTTGAATTGGCAAGTCACGTCCCAGAAGCGCCTTATCTCACTAGTCATCAATCATGTCTTTTCGCTCCATGCCTCTAACTGTGGCAGCTGCCATCAGGTAGGGGGTGGGGGTCTCCAGCTGTCTATGAAATTGGTTTCCCAGGGCAATTCGTCCATGATCCAGAGAGGAGTGACAAGGGAAGGAGGACTGCTGAGGGAGGGAAGTGGTGGCCCTAACCATAAAGTCCATGAGGGGACAGGAGACACGGTACTTCTCTCCCACGTGAGGATCCCGCGCTCTTGGTGGGAGGGTTCTGGTGGCGTTACCACAACTGGAGGAGTTCTATGGGACGATTGAGATTTGCCCAGGGGGATGGAATTCTCCACGTCCATGTGCTACCGTAAAGGTCTGACATTTCAGGTGTGGGCAACAGAGAAGAAATGAGACTTCCAAAAGTCAGTTTTGTTTTTGTGTCTTAAAAAACACATCCTAGTGCTCATTTTGGCAGCACATCTATTAAAACTGGAACAATACAGAGAAAAATAGCATGGCCCCCCGACTGACAGGCAAATTTGTGAGGTGGCCCATATTTTTTTATTTGTTAGTTGTTTCAGAGAATAGATCTTGAGGGGAGGGTATAGTGCAGTGGTAATGTGCTTAGTTAGCATGCACAAGGTCCTCAGTTCAATCCCCAATACCTCCATTTAAAAAAAAAAACTAGTAATAAATAAATAAATAGACCTAATTACCTCCCCCCAAACAAACTTAAAAAAGAGAGACAGAATAGATCTTAAAAGTTTTCACCACAAGAAAACATTTTTTGTAACTAAAAACAACAATAATAAGATAACAAAAGCTATGTAGATTTTTTAAAACCCAATTATCTATGTTTTCACACTGAATACTGAACAAGAAAAAGCTTAAGAAACATATCCATCAGTTTTTTGTCTCAACTGGCTTTTCGTCACTGTAATAAAATAGGTCCCCTCGGCCCAAACTGCAAACTGATTTCCACTTTCTTTCTGACGTTTAGTGGCCTCACTAACCAGACAGGAATTCTGTGCTTGGCAGGGCCCGATGACAGCCTTCAACTGGAAAGAATTAGGTACTTCTCCCTCCACAAGATTCCAAAATAAAAGCAAAACGTAGCCACATCTGTTGGGATGTCCAACAAAATAGCAACTTTCCCCCAAATGACTACCTTAGAGCCTGTTCTGAGCTATTGAATATCAAGTTCAAACAGCAAAGTCCTCCTCTACACCAAGTGTGCCGGGCCGGCCTGCAAGCCACCCGGCTCTTGGCGGGGCTTGCCTGGGGTGGAGCCAAGAAAACCCTTCTGGCTCCTTTCACTCCTTACAGATGAACCACCTGCCTCAGACCGCTTGCTCCTGGGGCCACAGGGGTCCGATCTGCAAGGGACATGTTAGCCCACCAGGCCATTTGCAAGAAATATCTTTGTTCTGGTATTTCCAGATTTCTCCCATCTTTGTTATCTGTAATTTGTATCAAGATGTGATTTTCCTGTGACCAAGTTTTCGGCTTAAGCAGGTCTTGTGGTCATCTCCAATAATCTCCAATAAATAGTCAACAAATAGGTTTTAAAAGCACTCAGAAAAGTAAGCTTTTGAAACTTTTTCCAGCTTTCTGCTTCAATGAGTTAAGGTTTTCCACTGCTTAAGTGTATTAGGAATATAACAGTTTGGGGAAGGTTTCCAAAGGAGCGGTTTTTACCACATTTCACACCCAGGTTTCCCAGTTGGTTTCTTGGGCCAGTGCAGTCTGGCCTCTGGGCACCGCAGGCTCACTTCCTCTCAATGCTGATTCTGTGACTGACAGGCAGCGTAGCAGGAACTTCCTGACAGTCATAAGAGGAACCCCATAGGTAGTTCCTTTTCCCAGATCAGAGATCACAGGAAAATGGAAACCAAAATTGATCTTATTTCTTGGTCCTCAAGTTGTCTCATCCTGTTCCCTTCATGACTACCTACGCCCTGCCCTCCCCTCCCCGCGGAGCCACACGGATGCTGACCCCCAGCCCGCACTGTTCAGCCCCTCTCTGGCGACTTCTCTCTCTTCTAGGAGGCAAGTCAGCAAGGGGACTAGAATGGCTAACCTATTTTTGCATCGTGCTTCTCGGTTTGCAATGCGTTCTTTTTTTTTTCCCCTTCCGCTTTACAAATACTCTCTCCCTTTTATAAAAATCCAATGAAGTGGGCAACACAGAACCTTTTACCGTTTATCAAAGGAACTAAGGTTTTGGGAGGTTACGTGGACAGACCTGAGGTCATAAAGCTGCTGAAGCACTCCTGCCGGCTCTAGAGCACAGGTGTTTGACTCTACGCTTTCTCTCCTGTCCACTCTCTCCACCGGCCCCTCTACTGCTCTCCAGACTCCCAGGCAGAGAGAAGCAGGGCGGGTAAGAGGGCCTGGCCTGCTCTCAGCTTCCAGCCTGGCTGAGAAGTAACAGAGATGCATGTGCAAATACTACCAGACTGAGGATTCCTGGAAAGGAAGAGGGGTGGGCTCCACCAACAGTCCCACTGGGCTGGGGAAAGGGGGCTGCGTCGGCTTAGGGACCAAGGAGATGGAGGTATACACAGCGTGCCTGTCAATTTTACCCTCAGAAACCTTTCCCTTGCTTTATTGTCCCAACCCTCGCTCTCTCCTCCTGTCCCATCGGAGCTTCCTCCCCTCTCTCTAGATGTCCATCCACCTTCGGGAGGACAACTCCCAGACCCACGTACTGATGATGAAGGGGGCTCCGGAGAGGATCTTGGAGCTTTGTTCTTCTTACCTTCTGAGGGGGCAGGAGTACCCAATGGACGATGAGATGAAGGAAGCCTTCCAAAACGCCTACCTGGACCTGGGAGGTCTGGGGGAACGCGTGCTAGGTGAGGGGCTGTGGGAGAAGCCTTGGAGGGAGGGGCATCAAAATAGTTACTACTTGTGGGGTGAAAACTCTAGGATGTGGGGCACGCAGGTAGGGACATACATAGTGGAATGATTACTGGTCCCTTCTTCTGTCCCTTTCCAGGTTTCTGCTTCTTGAATCTGCCTAACACTTACTCCAAGGGATTCAAGTTTAACACAAATGAGCTCAATTTTCCCATGGATAACCTTTGCTTTGTGGGGCTCATATCCATGATCGACCCTCCCCGAGCTGCAGTGCCTGACGCTGTGGGCAAGTGTCGGAGTGCCGGGATCAAGGTAAACCCTTCACCGTCCCAGCAGCACCCCACCCATCAGAAACTGGAGCAACAGGAGAAAACCTGGGGCAGAGGAGGCTCTTGGTTTAATTGAACTGATTTCTGCTTCCTTGAGCTTATGATTTTTAGTCTTAAGAGATAACTTAATAGTAAGTTTCTGCTGCAGTTAGAATCCTGTCTTGCATGGAACATAAGAATCACCAGGGAAGCTTTACAAATCTGATGTCTTGGTCTCACCCCAGATCCATTATATCAGAAATGCTCAGGGTGGGACCTAGGCATTTGTATTTTTTTAAACTTTTCTAGAGATTCCAATGTGCAGACAAGTTTGGGAACCAGTCCCCTCGCACAACGCTTCTCAAACATGTGAACCACCTGGAGGTTTTGTCAGAATGCAAGTCCTAACTCCGTAGGTCCAGGACATCTCGAGACTCTGCATTTCTGACCAGCTCCCTGGTGATGTCATTGCTGCTGGTCTGCCAGCCACACTGGGAGCAGTGACGTGCTGGAAGATGTCATGTAAATGTACTGCTGGGTGGGTTGTGAGCAGAGGGAGGCCAAATGGGCTGGGGCCTGGAACAGGTGGAGTGCTGGCCTTGAGGGATAATGTTGCAGATGTGGTTAAAATGCATGTTGTCTGGGAACTGATGGACCCCTCTAGCAAGAAGAAGAGAGTTACAATTGTGCCTACAGGCGGGGAGGCCCAGCCAGGAGAAAAAGAGGTGATTTTAGTCAGGATGCCTGCCAGAGCAGGACTCAGTCACAGCCTGAGGCAGGGTGAGCTGTGACAGGTGACAATCAGAAGAGGATGTGGGCTGGGCTGGCCTGCAGCTGTCCCAGAAGCAGGAGGCCTCAGTGCTTTCCGGGCCAGTCCTGGTTCTGGGCACAGGTTTAAATTTTTAAATTTCTTACCTCTTCTGGACTCGAAGCTGACAGAAATTCAGCAGACTTGGTGAGAAATTTTGAATCATCCCATGTTCCCTCTAGGGAGGTATAAAATGGACATGTGATGCCATCCCTCAAGGAGGACAAAATGTAATGGCTATGCAGGGGGTTTTCCCACAGGGCAGACCCTTCCAAGGTCAACTCCAAAATGGTGCTGATGCAGAGCTAATGGGTGTTACAAAGTTACTGAAAGAGGTCAGGTTAACAACTGCACGGCTGCAAAGTTTTTACCGTTGATTGTGGGACTGGAATTTCTCAGACAGAGCCATGTGTTCAGGCCTTTGAAATAAATGCAATTAAAAAAAAAACTGAAATAAAACTACCCCATTATATCTGCCACCACCGGAGGCTCTTAGGAGTCGGAAGACAGTTGGCCCTTGCTATGGCCCTGGCTGCCTCTAAGAACTGCAGCCAAGCAGTGAGGGCCCACGGTAGCCCTGGAACCAGCGCTGGAATGGTTCTCTCAGATGGGTCTGATCTGGGGAAGACGATCCAAGGGAACAGGAGGGCAGCTTGCAAGACGGTGTGGGAACACCAGAGGTCTAGTCAGCACCAAGAAGGTGGAAATGAAATTCCTTTAGTACTTAACAAGTCACAGAGACTACCAGATGTTCTTGACCTGAAGGGCATCTCTGGAGCCATTCGCTGGCTAACTGTGCTTCTATTGTATGTGTGTGTCTCAGGCTGTGAAATTGTGTCCTAGGAACTCACTCTTGGGGTGTTTGACTTTGTTTTTAATTCCTCCAGCCTGGCATGGAGGTGGTACTTCCAGAAACTACTGTAGAATAGTCCATTTGAATGGTCAAGCTGGGCTAGGTACCACACCTGCCCTACAGGTCATTATTGGTGAGCCACTGGGAGACTTTCAGGGCACTGTAAGCCTGAAAGGCATCACTGAGGGCTCAGTCTGAACCACATCTGGAATCTTCTGATCTTCCGTGCAGTTCCCTCCCAGATCCTCACCAGTTACCCTGTGCCCTACAGGCCAGGCTTGGTGAGGATCCAATGCCCCACAGCTGAGCCAGGGTACTTGAAATGAGTGCTGTGGGTAACTGCTCACAGTGCAACTTTCCTGAGCGTCTGGCAGCCACAGCTTAGTTAGCACGTCGCCGCCTTCTTCCAGTAAGCCCGGGGTGCCAGTGTGGAATGAGGAAGGCTCCTGGGAAAACTCCTTCCAGGCTTATTTCCATGCTCTGAAAGTACACAGACTGACCTTTCCCGGACCTCTGCTCTAGGTTCAGTCACAGACAGTTCCCTTCTTCCTCCCACCAGAGCCTGAGAAATTATGTGCTTGGAGGGCACTTGGGAACCATGGGCAGTGGTTCCCAGGAAGCAATCATTCCTTCATTCTATAATTGTTTGTTGATGGATTATAATGGCTAGGAATTATGCTAGGGCAGGAAACTTAACAAGGAATCACAGGCATGCCTCCACTCACAGACTTCCCAGTCCAAGACGGGAGAGAGACAGGCAATCCATCACACACAGAGATGTGAGGAGCGCTGAAGGAACAGAAGGCTAGAAAAGCCGGAGCATGGGCACCTGATCTTTGGGGAGGAATGGGACAGGACCAGGGCTGGCCCCAGGAATCCAGAAAAGGGCTGGAACCCAGGGGCATGAGGAGGCAGTGGGAAGAAGGGAGGTAGGACAAGGACTGGAACACACTTGGGCCCAGATGAAGTTTTGCTAAGCAGATGGATTATTCCGGGCGTCCCTTCATTACCACTGTTCTATGGGTAGGTGTTTCTGTCTTTGAGCTTAAAGAGGCAGAATAGCTTCTGGAGCAATTAAATGAAATTCTGAATATAGTAATACACCCCCAGCCCTGATTTATTCCTGGGAAAATAGAACCCAAATTGTCCTATGTGTTATGGTCTGATGGTCCTGACCCACTCCCAAGGGTTAAAGCCACAGTAGCAAGACTTTTGATTGGCAGCACAAGTTCTTGGGGATGAGCTGCTTAAACCCCTGTAGAATGAAAGCAGTAATCTGTCAGTTCTCAGAGAGAAAGGTGAAGGACCCAGGATGTCCCTGAAGATGATTCCACTCCTTTTCCCTCCCCTCCCAACACAGGTGATTATGGTAACAGGGGATCATCCCATTACAGCCAAGGCCATTGCCAAGGGTGTGGGCATCATCTCTGAAGGCACTGAGACGGCAGAGGACATTGCTGCCCGGCTCAAGATCCCTGTCAGCCAGGTCAATGCCGGGTGAGATTCCAAAAGAACTCAGATCTGTCATTTTCCCCCTTCATCCTCAGCCTGCCCCATCCGCTAAAGTTTTCGGAGGTTCTTTCGGTAGGTAGGATGTGCAGAGTTTACTTTACTGCAAAGTAAAATATAACAGGAAAACGACCAAGCCAAATGTCAGTGGATTTTCGGAGGAAATGGGACAAAGAAAGAAGTACAGGAGAAGGGGGGGGTGCAATGTGTCAATCTGGGGACAGTGTGTGGCTGGGGACAAGTGAGGAGATGGGGTAGAAAGGAGAAACCAGGAGGTGAGAGCAAAGATGGGTTAGAGGGCACCAGCCCCCCTGGTGAATTATCAACACTCTGAACCAGGCTTTTGAGATTCTTCTCCATCAGGGATGTCAAAGCCATTGTGGTGCATGGCTCAGAACTAAAGAATATGAACTCAGAACAGCTTGATGAGATCCTCCAAAACCACACGGAGATCGTGTTTGCTCGGACTTCGCCCCAGCAGAAGCTCATCATTGTGGAGGGATGTCAGAGGCTGGTAAGGGAGGCAAAGTTGCCCTGGGGAATCTGGCGGGAACCACGTGGCATAGCCCAGCCCCAAACCAAGCACAGGAATGTGTGGGCTGGGCTAGAGGGGACTCCAGAAAGCATCCCATCGTGAACCTGGGAGACAGGCATCTGTTTGTTGAGTGTTTTGATATCTCAGGAGGAGGCAGAGCAGGAAGGGCAAGGACTACATGATTACACCAATAAACAAGGGCTGATGGAATCAAACCAATCTTTGGGACTGGTCCCAAATCTGACACAGTAACTGTTTCACTCCCTCTGTGCTTCACCCAGGGAGCCATCGTGGCGGTGACGGGTGACGGGGTGAACGACTCCCCTGCGCTGAAGAAGGCGGACATCGGCATTGCCATGGGCATCGCTGGCTCTGACGTCTCTAAGCAGGCAGCTGACATGATCCTGCTGGATGACAACTTTGCCTCCATCGTCACGGGCGTGGAAGAAGGTGAGGAAGCAGGGTGCCCAGGGTTGAGACTTGGCTCTTGGGCTCAGGTGAGAGTTGGTAACATTTTTCTCACTCTCACTCCCTTTGCCCATCATCCAACCTCCTGGACAGACTGGGAAAAATCACTGTAGGTCAAAATTTTGCAAATTAGATTCAGTTGGTGATTAGAGCATCAGTATGAGGAGCCCAGATTTTCTAGGAAAAGCAAGGTGCTGGTGTGGCGTGATATTGTTTTACTTCTCTCACAGGGTTCAAGTGGGTCTACAGTAAGTACCAGGATGTAGCCAAACCCATGAGACTGCTCCGTACTCCACAGTCTGGAGGACTGTCTAGCAACCTATTGTCTGAATGACGCTGAGGTATCAAGATCAGTTGGAGTTTGATCTATGAACTGAATGCATGAGCCAAATCAAGCGCCCCCATTCCCAGGAACTGTACCCATTGGTGAAGAGGAGAACCCCAGAAGCCTGCCTCCCAGGCTCCCTGATTTCTGCCTGGAGTGATGTTATTAAAACCTATGACAGTCCACATAATAGTAATAGTTAACATTTTATTGAGATCCTGGTATGATCCTGACACTTTGCTCGGTATTTTACATCTACTCAATTCAGTAAACTTTTTGAGCATCAACTATGTACCAGGTATTATTCTAGATGTTGAGGATACAGCAATGGGGAATAAAACCACACATCCTTGCCCTCATGTAACTTAATTTCTAGTGGAGACAGACAGACAGTAAAGTAAACTGAACAGTGTAATAAAAGAAGACAAGTGCAGTGGGAAAAAAATAAGTAAAGCAGGGAGTGCAGGGAGGGATGAGGTTTTAAAAGGGTTGTCAAGGGAGGACTCAAGGCATCTTGCAAGGCAGGAGGAATGAAGCTCAGAGAGGTGGGGTGCCCAAGATCACGAGCTAGTTATGGAAGAAAATGGAATTGGAACCCAAGTCCAGGCTACTTCCACATGGCCTTAATCTTTTTTTTTATTGAAGTATAATTGATTTACAATATTATATTAGTTTCTGGTGTATAGCAAAGCGATTCAGTAATATATATATATTTTTTTCTTTTTTATATTCTTTTCCATTATAGTTGTTACAAAACATTGAATACAGTCCCCTGTGCTCTGCAGTAGGACCTTGTTGTTTATTTTATATATAGTAGTGTGTATCTGCTAATCCCAAACTCCTAATTTATCCCTTCGCCACTCCATTTCCCCTTTGGTAACCATAAGTTTGTTTTCTGTGTCTGTGAGTCTGCTTCTGTTTTGTAAATAAGTTCGTTTGTATCAAATTTTAGATTCCACATATAAGTGATACCATATGATATTTGCCTTTCTCTCTATGACTTACTTCACTTTGTATGATAATCTCTAGGTCCACCCATGTTGCTGCAAGTCAGCCTTCACCTTCTAATGGTTTTTGTATTGGCCTTGTCAGACATCTCTAAGTATTAACCTGGCCGCACCCTGCTTAATTTTCAGAGGTCAGATGATAGTGGCCACAATGAACCCAAGAACAAACAGTGCACAGACATGGCATGCTAACATGGCTCTAATTAATAGTCACACAATTTAGAGACAAAACGGGCTGCTGAGGTCTGGGACCTTCAGATCCTTTCACGGATTGTGATTTTGCTTTGTAGTGGTCTCTCAGTTCAGGAGCTGGTTTGTGGGAGGTGTGAATTCTCTGTGCTTCTCACAAAAGGTTGACCATCCTCCCCAGGCCGCCTGATCTTTGACAACCTGAAGAAATCCATCGCCTACACCCTAACCAGCAACATCCCCGAGATCACCCCCTTCCTGCTCTTCATCATCCTCGGCATCCCCCTGCCTCTGGGCACTATTACCATTCTCTGCATTGACCTGGGCACTGACATGGTGAGGACCAAGCTGGGACCTGGCTTGTGGAACTCTCGTGAAACAGACTGAGGAGTAGGAAACACCTGTGTCCAGGGAGAGGGACAGAGCTCAAGTTACTTCTGGGTTTCCTTCTGAACTTTGTGTCCCCTGTCACTTCCTCCCTCCATCCTCCAGGTCCCTGCTATCTCCTTGGCTTATGAGTCAGCTGAAAGTGACATCATGAAGAGGGCTCCACGGAATCCAAAGACTGACAAGCTGGTGAACAACCGTCTCATTGGCATGGCCTATGGACAGATCGGTGCGGTCAGAGGAATGAAGGGTGAAGGGAGTGGGGATTGGCTGCACCTGCCTGGCCACTGGACCAATCTTGGCTTGGAAGTCAGGGAGATATTTTCTTAACAACAGACTGTGCTAAGCCCTGGGACACAATGAACCATTGATCTCTGATCTGCCCTTCAGAGTCCAGTCAAACTGGAGCAAACGTACATAAAACGATGGTATTTTTCCAAGTGCCAAATAATGAGTATAGATAATACACACTACAGGAGTCCAAAGCGAGAGGACTCACCAATCAGGAGGACAGTCAGAGAGGGCCTTATGGAGGAAATAGAACTTAAACTTGGTGTTGGAAGGCAGGGCTTAGACTAGTAAATGGATGGTCATGTGTGGGGGACCAGAGGAGACCTGGGTGTTGAAGAGTGAGTAAGCCAGTTTGGTTGAGAACTTATTCCTGATAAAGTAGTAGTGGAAAATGAGGCTGTAGGCACAGGTAGCAATCTACACTGGAGCCAGCCTCTGAAGATGTTTGCAAGCCATTAGAGGTCTTTGTTCTTGAGTTGCTAGGTACAGTGGGGGTACAGAGAAGAGATGGGGGCAGAGGAGACCATCCCAGTATATAGAGATGGAGACACATAGAAGAAGCACAGATTTAAGAGCCATACCTATGTTTGAATCCCAATTTCATGACTTACTACCTATATGACTCTGGAAAATGACTGAATCTTTCTTGTGCTTTAGTTTTTCCACTTATGAAATGTAAATGGTTGTTCAGAATTGTTGTGAGAATCAGTGTCCATGAGGACCTAACAGTGCACAGCTCTGTAGCAGTTAGTAGGCAAACATTAGCATCAGCAATGGCCATGGTCCAGGCATGAAGGATGGAGGTTCTGACCAAGGTAGAGGCAAGGGGCCGATGGGAGAGACTTGAGGGGAGGAGAGGACTTGATAAGTGTCCTAGTTTCAGAGGAAATGGAGAGGGAGGAGTCCAGCACTCACTCAATGGAGAGAGGGAATAAATCTCCTTTAAGGTCCTTTCCAGCTTTAAAGTTATATGATTCAAAGATGACTCTGGCTTATAGCTTAGAAACACAAATGTCTGAGTTGGGAGGCAAGCCCTACAGAGATGGCGATAGCAGATCATTGGTGGCGTGAATCTTCAGCATTACAGCTCAGACACACATCAACCCTGCTAGAAGCAAGTCCCAGGCACCATCCCTTCCATGGTCTACCTTTTGAGATCCTTCTTTGCGCCAGGTTCCCCTGACCTATGACTCTATCCCTGTGACTCACAGGAATGATCCAGGCTCTGGCAGGATTCTTCACCTACTTTGTGATCCTGGCTGAGAATGGTTTTAAGCCTATTGATCTGCTGGGCATCCGCGTCAACTGGGAAAATCGACACCTTAATGACCTGGAGGACAGTTATGGACAGCAGTGGGTGAGTAGAAGAGGTAGTGCAGTAGTTACCAGTAAGAGTGAAGAAGTAACAAGGAAAAGTGGCTTTAGCAAATTTTTGAAGTGTAGGAGAATGGAGGAGCCAGGCAGACGGAGTTGATACCTCATATCCAGTCCTACAAGAACATTCTAACGTTTGTCCTCAACCTCCAGTCACATCAACAAACATTCTCTTTGTTTACAATGACTTCATTTCTGTTAATACCTACTGTCTATTGTTTGTCCTTATCTTCCTGGGTCTTTTTGGCTTTCTTGGACCTGGAAGCCTTCTTTGTCAATCAACTTCTTGGGGCTGATTTCTGTTCTTCCAGATTGTAATCATCATTGCCCCAGAAATGAGTGCTGGGTCCTCTCTTTCCTACTATGCTCCTTTTCCATGGGAGTTCAAAGAATATGATTTTAAATCTGAAAACCTATTTTCTTTGTGTATTTCTTCTCGTTGTTCTAAACTTTTTAAAGTTAGAGGATGCCTCTCTGTATTAGTCATTCCTAACACTCAGGATGAATGAGGACCAAATTGAAGCCCTCCAACCAACAGTATGTATTAAGAATTTTAGTAAGTATGCTTGTTTGTGTCTGTGAACACTCCGGTCCCGATTTCTAAGGCAGTAGGAGATGTGATGATTTTTGCTAGAATCATTGGACCATAGGGTTCACATAGTCTATAGAGGACACATAGTCCATTATTATCATTGTACAAATGAAGAATCTGAGTGTGGAAAGATTTGGTGACTTGCTCAAAGTCCCACAGTGAATCCTTACAAGAGCTGGACTAGAATTCTGGACTGCCTGGCACTTTCCCACTTCACCATGGTGCCTCCAAACCAAGCTAATTGTAACTTTCTCAAAAGTATGTCAAAATGAGGGTTGTTGGAAAGTTGCCCCTCATACACAGTAGGCTTCCACTATCTGAACCTCGTAAGGCCAACAGATGTCAGTGTTCCCAGCTACCGACACTGCTCCAGGGGCCAAAGATGCCCAGAGTCCTCATCGTTGTGTACCTTGTCAACATTTCCTCAAACCTCAAGTCAAGCCTCATGTTAATTTTATATCTTGATACTATCTCCTTCCTACCAAGTTGAAGCTTAACATATGTTTATTTATAATAAGTTAAATATAATTAAAGTTAATTTGAATTAACATCAAATTGCATCAATGACGTTTTGAGGTATTGCAAAATGGGTTGAGAACAATTGCCCTGAGAAATAAACACTATGAAGGCAGGGTCTATGTCTCTTCCACTGCTGTAATCCTCAGATAGATGAGTATAGAATTGCCTATCCAGGAAGTACCCTACAAACTGCTAGATAGCTCCTCATCTTCTAAATTCCTCCAGCAGTAATTCCATTGATCACCATTCATTCATTCATTCATTCATTCATTCAGCTCAAATATTTGTCAAGCATCTTCTGTGCACCAGGTACTGTTTTGGCCTTAGGGATATGGTAGTGAACAAAAATGGCCAAGTTACTGCTCTCATGGAGCTTACATTCTAGTTAGGGGCACAGGGTGGGAGGCAAGAAAGATAATAGCCAAATACGTAACATATTGGGTCAATGGATTATAAGTCTAAATGGATTCCAAGAGGTGTTGGAATTGAGGTACTAGAGCAGGTGAGACAGAAAGATCAAGATGGTGATCAGAGAGAAAAGACGTGCTTGAAATTAAAATTCAGACAAATTGTGACTACTGGAAAAGACAATGTCTGGAGTTTAACCATGGGAGCAAGCAGCCCGGGTTGGGAGTGGAGGACACCTCCCCCCACCCCACTGGAGGAGAAGGAGATCAAGATACTGTGAAACCAAGGCATGGAAAGGATAATCAACATGGATATTTAAATCTCCAAAAATGAGAACAGGAGCATTTAGAGTGACAGTGAGTCAGGAGCTAAAATTTTCAAGCGGTGATGGGAGAGACTTGGCATTGGTAGCTGGCTGCAGGGGAGGATAGTGGTGGTATGATCTGATGCACAGAAATGTGCTGATTTGTCTCATTCTAAGTCCAGCGCTTGGCTCATCAATTTCCAGCCTTTGTTTTTCTAATCATTTAGGGCTCTATATTTCCCTCCAAATACTACTTTGACCACATGCCATGAGGTTCTTTCTGTAGTATCTCATTATTGGTCAGTTCTACATGTTTTCAAATTCTTTATTCCATCAGTTATTTATAAACATGCTGTTCTATTTTTTTAAACATGGGCTTTTCCTCCAGTCTGACTTAGGCACACCGCTCCTGTGTTCCCATAGCCCACGGTGATCTCTCTCTTATAACCTACCTACTGTCAATCAGCTTTTTGACAGCTACCTACTGTGCTGACATAATGAACATATTTATCTTCCCCACTAGACTCTAAGTTCCTTTTGTGTAAAATGTGAATGAAAGAATGAATGAATGGATGAGAGAATGCCTCTCCGCTGGTACCACCCTTTGGGCATCCCTTTCTCCTCTACACGTGGATTTCCCTCTGGCCCCATCTTCCTTATCAGTTTACTCTGACCCTGCTTCCCTCTTGAAGTCCATCTTCTTCTTTTATACCACCCTTCTTAATAAGTTAGTAAATATTTATTGAGCCCTACTACCTGCCAGTCATTGAACTAAGCATGGGGAATGGGACACAGAGATAAGGAAGGCAAGGTCTCAGTCAGGTACAGAAAACATATAAACAGCTCATAATCCAACATGAAACGTGGTAAGATAGAGATGTGTGAAGGGCAGGAGAAATTTTAAAGATGAGACCTAACTCAGCCATGGGGTCAGGGAGATGGAAGGCAGAAGGAGGAAGCCTTGGAGGCATATCTGAATCCCTTCTGACACTGACGGCTCCCCTCTGCCTGTCCTCCCCAAGACCTATGAGCAGCGGAAGGTGGTGGAGTTCACGTGCCAGACGGCCTTCTTCGTGAGCATCGTGATCGTGCAGTGGGCGGACCTCATCATCTGCAAGACCTGCCGTAACTCAGTCTTCCAGCAGGGCATGAAGTGAGCGCCCGCCCGCCCGCCCTGCACACTCACCCGCCCACGCTGCACGCCCACCTCTCCCTCCCGATTTCCAACACACCTTTAAACATTGCTTCCCAGAAACAAGATCCTAATATTTGGGCTCCTGGAGGAGACATTTCTGGCTGTTTTCCTGTCCTACACTCCAGGCATGGATGTGGCCCTGCGAATGTATCCACTCAAGTGAGTAAGGGAAGGGATGCAAGGAGGGACGTCCTTGGGCACCACGAGAGTGCATGGGAGGAGGTGTGGGCAGGGGAGTCAAGGAGGGGCGGGCTGCACTCATGTGAATGTAAAGAGAACCGCCTGTGCTCCCACAAATGCATCTTATTTGGGGAGGGACTAGGGACTGTGCCAAGTGATTGCAACACACCAGACATGCAAATTTAGGAGACTTACCAGTGCTTAACAGAGTGGCATCTCTTTTATGATAATGTGTGGTATAGCTGTTGCAGTCTACATTGCTTGGAACTGATGCAGTCATAAAAATAGCCTAATCTATGCACGGCTAATTCTGCTGTACTTATGCAAATATGTTTTAACGTGCATATATGCGAGTGGGCATACTGAAATTCTCATTGTCTGGGACCTTGTTCGGTTCAAGTCCCACGGTTTTGCTTTTTTATTTGTTTGTTTTTTACATTAGTATATGCTTGTAAACTTTTTCTGTTTAACAGTTTTAAAGAGAAAAAAACGAAACTCCCATTTCACTCCCACCCCGCCCCCACCCCAGTTGGTAGCCTTTGTTAATGATTTAGTGTGTATCCTTCCAACTGGTTTTCTGCATGTTTACACACTTCGCTCGCCTTTCTGTCTCTGGCAGTGGTTTACACAATGCTCTGTATTCTGTAGCTGCTCGGTTAATGCTTAATAAAAGACATTGGCATTGCTCTTAGATACTGACAATCCCAGGTTTGAATTTCAACTCTACTGTGTATTATTCTATGACCTTGGACAAGTCGGTAACCTTTCCAAGCCTCGGCTTCACCTACAGAGTCTCGGTGACACATACCTGGCATACTGTTCTGAGAATTACATGCAGAAATGCATATAAGCCACAGAGCACAGCACTTGGTCCTGGTGGGTGCTTGCTCATAGTAGCAGTGTTATTGCTGCTGTTAATGTCAACATATAAGTGATAGTAAATGTGGTTGAGCATTAACTGTGCTCCCAAGCACTCTGTAGTATATATATCTTGACCATAAAGCTCATCACCTAATATTATGATTATTTATTTTGTGTGTTTATCTAGTAACCTCTTTTCCCTGATCACTTGAGCTCCTAAAGATCAAAGACTATCATGCCATCATTTTTATTTCCCCAGGACCTAACACAGACACAGAGTAGACATATGATCATCACTGCTGAATGAATGGGTGACTGTATGTATGTAACTGTTTATATTGGTTGAGGGCTGTGTGTGTGTGTGTGGTGAACCATGGCCTGGGCCTGTGCTGTCCAATATGGTAGCCACCATCCTTATGCAATTAATGAGCTCTTGAAATATGGCTAGTGACACTGAGAGACTGAATTTATAACTTTTAGTTAACTGAAAGTTAAAAACTAAAGCAGTGTCAAATATTTTTCTGTTAAATACAACTTCACTGTCTTGGTTGGACCACATTTTCTTTTAACCATTGAACATTTAGTGTCTGACTTGAGATACAGTCAGTGTAAAATACTGACTGGATTTCGAGGACTCAGCATAAAAGGGTGTAAAATAACTATGTTTATCTTGATTGCATGTTGAAAGGGTAATATTTCAGATATTTAGGGTTAAATAAAATATACCATTAAAATTAATCACACCTGTTTCTTTTTCTCTTCATGTGGCTACTAGAAAATATTAAACTTCACATGTGGCTCACTGTTATATTTCTGTTGGACAGTGCTGGTCCAGGCTGGTCCAGGCCATCCCTCTACCATCCAAGGGGCAGGTGTGGTCCTGATTCAACCCCTCCCCAGAGTCCATTTTCCCGATCTATAGACGAGGTTCAGGAAGAAAAAGATTTCCCCATCTTTGCCATACAGAAGAGTATCTATATTCCCTGGCAAGATAACCCCACATGTCTAGTCTCAGACAGACCCATCCTGCTTGGACTTTGTGGGTGCAAGGCCCGGACGATCCGGAAAGCAAAGGGAGTCTCCCTCAGTGACTCCACAAAAGCCGGTAGATAGACTCCATGAACACTGCATGCACCTCTAATCTGGCATCTATCACGTTCTGTTCTCATTGGCTTTTTATGTTCCTGCCTGGGGCCCCTCTGCCCTCACTCCCCAGGCTCTGACCTCCTCAGAGGGAGGGATCAACGTCCCACACAACAAAGGAAACAACCCCTGTCCGCTGTTCTCTCTGGCCTGCTGACCCGCCTTGCTCTGGCCCCTCTGTCTCCTCTCCCACTGACCGGCGTTTGCTCTCTCCAGGATAGCTTGGTGGCTCTGTGCTACTCCCTACAGCATCCTTATCTTCATCTATGATGAAGTCAGAAAATTCATCATTCGTCATCATCCTGGCGGTGAGGCTCCCCTGCACCCTGCTCTGGGAGGTCACCAGCCTCCTGACCAGCTCTCACATCCCACCTGGCTCCTCCAGGCCCGTGACCATTCTCCCCGGCTGGCTGCCTGGCTTGTGCTGTGCCCGGACCCCACCCCCTAGTCCTTGAGCCCAGCATGGGGGCCCTGCGGTCCGCCCTCGGCCCCCCACCTCGTCCTCGCTTACCCTTCTGCCTTCTCCCTTGATGCCCTCTCCAGTTCACTCTGGTCTCTTCTCTCCCACAGGCTGGCTGGAGAGGGAGACCTACTACTAAACTCAGCAGAGGAAGCACTTCCCATGACACGGGGTGTCCTGAGGGCTGGGTGCTGGCGGGGGCTGGGGGTAATGAGTTTGGCAAAACATCAGGGAAAGCATATTAGCTGAGGCAGAGAGATGCCAGGAGGAAGTACCCTGGATGAGAGAGTGAGGCAATTCTAGGGCTGGACTGAGGGCACCACGGGTAGGAGAGGGGAAGCCCAGCCTGTGTCTGACTGGAGTCCAGTGGGGAGGTTCAGTACCCCATCAAGACAGTAAATGTTTGCAACAGCCCTCAGCTGTCAGATGTGTCGCTTCTGATTTTTGGAAAACGGGGATCACTGGGACACCTCTCTTCTTAGATCTTCACGGTAGCCAGGCAGGGGAAGTTTTTCAGGGACCACAGTCGAGGCTGGGAGGGGATCAGAATCAAGCATCTTTGCCTCAAAGTCACTGTCCAACCAACTGGAGAGCCAGGGCAGGACAAGCCAAGCTGGATTCAGAGAAACCCAGGAGGTGAGAGAGGAGGGGGGAGCCACACCTTACAGAGGGATCACAGAGCCCACTCAGTTCCTCAGATCAACTTACAGAATCAGTTTTCGTGCTAGGAGAGGCCTTATTTCATGGATGAAGAGCTTCAGGTCCAGAGTGGTTAATGACTTGGGAGGGGTCACGTGGTGAGTGGCGGATGTGGGGCTGCAGCCCCTCCTCTGCAGGAGGGAATGGTGCTCCCTGGCCTTTCCTCCAAGTCATTAGGGCATCTCGACCGCATCCCGTCCCTGGGCTGTTTTCTCTGGTGTAGCTTTGATATAGAGGCTGGTGGGGGAGTGGGGGCTGGAGTATCACTCAGTGGTAGAGTGCGTGCTTAGGATACGCGGGGTCCTGGGTTCTATCCCCAGTACTGACCGCCATTAAAAAAAAGAGAAAGAAATAGAGCCAGAAACAATGCAGTCTGGATCCCTGTAGCTTTCACTTCGGGCAAAGCTCCCACCCCCTCGTGCCCCAGCTCCCCACGGGGTGACGGACGTGCCCAAAGCCTGGTCTCCGAGCCTGGGCCCAGCCCTGGCCGCGTCTCGGGGAGGCGAGCAGCCCCGGCAGCGCTTCTCTCCTGCCCGCTTTCGGCGGCAGCTCTCCCTTCCTCTTCGCCCACTCACTGGCTCTTGTTTCTTGAGCTAGTCCGCTGTGCCCGGTGGGTCAGCTCACTGTCAGGCTTCCTCATGAGGAGAGGGTTGGCTGTGCTGAAAAGCATACAGAGTAAGAAGGGAAAGCCAAGAAAAGCTGGGGGAAACCGTAGACTGTCACCAGAAACAAAGCACGTATGTCAAGCGACTGCACACCGCGTCTGGCGGTGGACAAAGGCCATACACCATCCATGAGTCCACACGACCAATTCGTTCTGACCGCCCCACCCCGTTTCACAGATGAGGAAACCAAGCTCTGTCTGATTCCAGAACCTACGCCCTTAACTACTTTCCAGGCTAGTCTTACAATGATGGCTGGGCCAAAAATATACAATTGCAAAATGGGAAAGAAAAACAAATAGGCTAATGATGGAGAAAGAGCCATGGATGGGTCAGGAGGATGAGAGGCCACGGGCAGCAAAGAGAAGGCCTTCGTAAGGTAGACCAACTGCTACTCCCCTGCACGGGTCCCTCCTCAGAGGTCTGTGTCCCACCTGTTCCCCTCCCTTCTCCAACGCGGGTCTCCTAGGGACAGGGCTATATCAGTCTGGGGTCCTTCTCCGGCTGCTGACGCAGCTGAACCAGACCCTGGAAGATGGAGGGGCCAGGGTATGTGTGAGTGAGGTGGGGAGGGGGAGCATGGAGGGGCCAGCTCCTCAGGTTTCAGTAGCAGGAGCTTCGGGTGTCTGGTGGGTTAAAAATACAGAGGCCCCAACTTAAGGTCATTTGATACCAGTAGCTGAGGCCCATAAAGTCTGAGAGCCTGAAGGCAGGGGCCTAGAGGGAAGGGACTGAGTAGAAAGTAGGGAGCATCAGAGAGGTGCATAGGGAGGAGGGGAGGGGCTGCAGCTGCTGCAAGGGATGTGGGAGGCTCTGGAAAGCCGGGGCAAGGAGAGGGAGCAAGACGGGATGAAGGGTCTGGTAGCCGCAGCAGAGGGGGAGGAAATGGAGCAGGACTGGGCCCCCATTTCATCCCATCTCACACCCTGGGGTACGAAAGGTCAGATTCACAATGAAATGAGTCCAGTGCCCCGATGTCTCTGTCCCCGTGTTTCCCCTTCCCCAAGAGCGCAGCCAAAGTGAGAAGTCGGGGCTGGATGTCATCTGGGTCATGTACATCTGGGCGGGTCTGCCCGTCTCTCCTGCTGTCTTTGCTCTGGTCGTGGGGCTGTGGGCATGTTAGTCACTCTCCTGTGAGACCAGGAGATGGGCTGAGGTCTTCTCAGCTCCAACATGCCCCGCTTAGGCTAGCTCTGGCCTCTCCTGCTCCAGTGACAGCTGTCTCTCTTGGACCCACTCCTGCCACGTTCTTGAGATTTTCCCTGGCCTTCCTTGCTGAGCTGTGTAAGGTCTGCCCCACTGGAGTGTGAACAAGTTATTCCTCTAACGTAACTTCATGGTACAAAATACACACTTGTCCCTTCGGCATCGGAGACACCTCAGGGCGAGGATGGGGGCTTCTGACTTTGATCTAGGTCTCCCTCGTGCCTGTGCTTATGGGTGCATGGCAGGAGCCCGGAGGACCATGAAGAGGGTCCTTCCTTCAAGGTACCCAGAGCTGAACTCAAGCACTCCGCCCTCAGCCCCAAGCTGGGATCCGGGAAGTTAGAGCCCCCCACCACCGCAACTCTGTATTGGTTCTCAGTGCACAGAATTAATCAACACCCTTGGCTCAGGGCACAGGGCCCACCTCTTCATGTTTTCCAAATGTTAATTTTTTCCCTTACTGTTTAATACCTGGTCCTTTCGGTCTTGTCAGAGATGCAGGAATGAACAGTCGTTCTTCGCTCTCCTTGGAGTCATTCAGTCTGAGGAATCCTCCCTTTCCCACTGTGCCCTAGAGAACCAGCCCCGTGGGATCAGAGGAGAGAGGACAGCAGGACATGGCAGCCGAATAACTTTCTCCCTCCCGTCTGGGGCTTGTGGGCAGAGACGCCCCAGATCCGCATCTCTAAGGATGGATGTGGGCCAGCGCTCCACGCCCCACGCCCCGTCCTTCCCCTGCATTCTCCAGTTAGGAGTGTTAAGTGAAGCAAAGGAAACAGGCTGGAGCTGAGCCAGGGCACCAGTCCTGGACGCGGCTCCATCTTTTATTCAGAGAATGACCTCATCCTTGGTCCTGGTTCTTTAAAGCCAAGTGCAGGGGGTCTCCTTCCTGCGGCCTGGATTGCATTTGTACTGCCCTCCTTCCTCCCCAGGATCAAAGAAACAAACAGGCCTGACCCAGGGGAGAGTCCCAGGTTTTAGAACTTAGAGTCAGTACTGCATTTGTCCCCCTTTTGTCCTTTATTACGAATGTAACCCCTGACCCAGAATGCCTCCTCCTCTCCAGCCCCATTTCCCTCTTTCTGAGTACCCTTGGCCCCCTTCAGCTATCCCCAATTACTCCAAACTTCCCCTCCCCCAACCAGCTTCACTTACCTCCGACTCATCTGGTCTTATTTTTAGCTCCAGCTTTTTCCTTTCTTAATATGGCGATGAGCTCTTAGGCCGGCGTGGGGACAGGGGCTGAGGAGCCCTGGACATTGGGGAAGGGGGAGGGGAAGGAGGCTCTGGGAGCCTGGACGAGAGGTATTGGAGGTAGGAGGTCCCGGCCCTCATGGAGCCGTCCTGGCCTCAGAAGGTTATCCATCTCTCCTGCCAAACCCGGAGACATATTTAGACAGGACCAGGTGGGGGCAGAGGGGTGCCAACCTCAGGGGCAGCTCCGATTCCCTCCCCGCCCCCTGCTCCTATTCCTCCTCCTGACCCTTTTTCTCTTGGCTCTGTCGGCAGTTTCTCCAGGACCCAGCAGCGTCCTCTGTCCACTGCTCTGGGCCGTTCCCCACCCCACCCCCACTGTGAGCCCCTAACTCAGGACTCGGGACCCAGGGGCCCCTCCTTACCCCAGCTTACCTCTTCTGGACCAGGAGAGCCGACCCAGATCCCACTACCTCCATGCGCGCTGCAGACAGGATGGGGGCCAGAGCTGTGCCGGGCCTGCGGCTGGCACTGCTGCTACTGCTGGTGCTAGGGACCCCCAAGTCAGGGGTGCAGGGGGAGGAAGGGCTGGACTTCCCCGAGTATGATGGTGTGGACCGTGTGGTCAATGTCAACGCAAAGAACTACAAGAATGTGTTCAAGAAGTATGAGGTGCTGGCGCTGCTCTACCACGAGCACCCCGAGGACGACAAGGCCTCGCAGAGACAATTTGAGTTGGAGGAGCTGATCCTGGAGGTGAGTGGTGGGGTCTGCAGGCCTGCAGAGCGCACCAAGCCCCTCTCTGAGCCCCGCATCCCACAACTCCAAGTAGATCTTCGAGGGTGGGATCCGGGGGCGAGGGGCAGTGCAGCAGGACTCTGTCCTGACCAACAGGACGAAAGTGGCATGTGATCTTAGCCGAAAGAGAAACAGAGATTCAGGAAACCAAAAGTACCACCGAAGTCAGGCAGTTTTAGGAGGGAAGGGGCACTGCAGGGGGAATTCTCCTCCGTGCTGTAGGAGCCTAGTCTTGTGAGGTTTGGCTAAGACCAGGGTGACCTTGGGAGGAGGGCAAAAAGGAAAAAGTTTCTTTGGGGGAAGGGGAAGACTGCAGTGCACCCTCAAATCTACTTTCCTAGCCAGAAAGTGCCATCTCGCTATACACCTCAGGGGCTCCCCAAAGAGATCCAAACATTATAAATTTAAATGTCGCTGACATTTTATTTGTGCGTCATTTATTTAACGGCTGAAGGTTTACTAGAGACCACCGTGCCGCCCATTGGCTTCTAAGTCCCCTCTCTCCACCCACTCATGTCCCCATTTGCCCCTATTGGATCAAGCTGGGGGCCCTGATTGGAAGATTCTTGTGTTTGGAGGAGGCTTCACAATGCTGTCCCTAACTTGTCTTTGTGGGAAGATTCTCCTCAGCCCCAAGCTGACCTCGGGTACGGAGAAGAGAGAGCCTATTGTTACAAGAGAAAAAGCCTGTGTTTTACGATGATTGGGAGACATGGCCACACACCCCTCCAGGAGCCGGGCTGTGTTGGAGTCTCCTTGTCCATGTTTCTGCAGCCCCTTCACTAGCTTGGCAGTACAGATAGGCCCCGGCTTGCCCAGAGCTTGGAATATTTCAGGGCAAGACACCAGGGCTGCAGGCTCTCGTTACTGTGTGCCCCTGTGGGTGCTGGAACCTGCCGTCTGATTAATGAGCTGAGTATTTTTATCCTGAGTGCTCAGCATCCCCGGCCATCCACCTGCCAGCCGCCTCCCAGCCCTGTCCTCCTGAGAATCCGGGCACCCGATTCTGTGTTTGGTGGGGTAAAGCTGCAGACGGTGCCCAAGGCAGAGTGCATCAGGGTGCAGAGCCCGGCGGATGGGGGCAGGGACCTAGGGTGGGACTATCCATATTCTGAGGACAGGCTGAAGTAGACAGTACAAGGGACAGTCCCGCCTGATTGAGGAGAGCCCAGCCTACTTCACCTCTAGTCTCTCTTGTCAGTCTCTCTGCCTCTGAGAGTGACCAGTGGAGGCCACAGTGACCTCTACTTTCTGCTCTCTGGCGTTCCCCACACCTCAGCCACATGACCAGACCCCACCGCCACCCTCCTGCCCTGGCAAAATTCTTGTCACTGAGAGTCACTCAGAAGCAGCTCAGGGTTGGCTAATGTCACCCCCACAATGAGTGTGGTCTTTGATCAGCATAGACAACAGGGCTCAGCTCTGAAGGAGGGAAGGGCCGCAGTCACTCTGCAGCCAGATCCCACCGCATCGCTAAGGAACTCTGAAGTACATACATGCCATCTTAAAGTTCAACATAATAAGCACACTGTAAATGCATTATACAGGTTCAGAGATTAAAACTGAACTGAAGACCAAAAGGGTGGGGTTGTAGGAAAAGTGGAGCTATCCTGGGTCCTAGCGCAGTGTCAATGTCAGCTCATATTCCCTGCATCCCAATGACCCAACTGGAAAGCATGAGATGAGGAACAGTGGTTACTAAGAATTCCAGGGCCTGATTTTAACCCTAACTCTCCTTTCAGTTAGCAGCTCAAGTCCTAGAAGACAAAGGTGTTGGCTTTGGGATGGTGGACTCTGAGAAGGACGCGGCTGTAGCCAAGAAACTAGGTAAGGGAGGGGTGAGAGGAGCAGGGAGGTGAAGGTGGCTGGTGAGAAAACATTGACATTTGAAGGCTTATGACTGAACCCTATTGAAGGAAAGGGGTCCCAGCCTCTCCTTTTTACTTATAGAGGCCCACGCTCAAATCCAAGAAAGAGCTGGAGGTGGACTTCTTTATACCTACCTACGAAACAGGGCTAGGTGCTGGAGGAAAGAGGGAATCAGGGAGCACAGGTGGGGCTGGAGAGGCCTCTGCAAATTCCTCTTCCAACCCCTCCCCCTCCAGAGCTGTGGCCAGGTGTTACAGCACTAGCCACCAGGGGGCAGCACAGACCTGAGACTGGACTCGGATGTGGGTGGGGGAGGGGTGGTCAGTAATGAAGTCATCTGGCCAGCAATAGCAGCAGGTTAGAGGGCTGGACTGGAAATCAGTAACTAGAGTCCTCAGAGGAGGTAATAGGGGTAGCGGTTTCTAGTTATGGCAGACAGAGAAAGGGAGAAAGCTTGCTAGTCTGTATCTCCCTATGTCCTCCCCTAGAATCCCACCCAATCTGAGCTTCTCCTTGGAGAGCTCCTGGCGCCAGCCACCTGGGCTAAATCCAGGGGTATAGACACCTGGGACATAGGGGCTAAGAGGCAGTGGAGGTGAGCGGGGCCGGGGAGGTGAAGGAGGTGGGGTCCAGCGGGATTACGGAATGGGCTGCTGCCCTGGATTTGGACCCTTGGATCTGTGGGGAGGTTGGAATCATGGCATGCCTTTGGCTCACTCCCTAGGACTAACTGAAGAGGACAGCATTTATGTATTCAAGGGAGATGAAGTCATTGAGTATGATGGCGAGTTTTCTGCTGACACCCTGGTGGAGTTTATGCTTGATGTGAGGATTCCCCTGGACCTAATGGCCTTGCTTTAAGACCTCATGTCCATCTGACCAACTCCAGCCTCACACACATACACACACACAGGCAACAGAGAGTCCATCCCTCCCATTCCTCAGCCCTCTTCCCTGATCCCTCTCCCTGCCTCTACCACTGAGGACAGAAACTCACTCCCTTCCTTCAATGTCCTTGCTCTTCCAGGTCCTAGAGGATCCTGTGGAACTGATTGATGGGGAACGAGAGCTGCAGGCATTTGAGAATATCGAAGATGAGATCAAACTCATTGGCTACTTCAAGAGCAAAGACTCAGAGCGTGGGTGAACCCTAGACTCCACTCTTCCCCTCCCTGGGTCCCCCAGTCTACCTGTCTTCCTAGCTCCCCCCTTTGCCCACTGGCTCTGCACTCCTGCTCCGCGACCCTCTTGCCATGGTCGCTCCATCAACTGCCCTGATCTCCCTGCACTCTGTGGGTTTCCCAGACAGGCACATTCAGGATTCTCCCTTCCCCCCACCTTATTTAACCACACTCAGAGGACTAGAAGGGGTGGTCTTAGAGTGATCCCCACCTGCCAGAGAATTGGGGAGAGACTGTTGAGGGGCTGATTCCCTGGCAGACCCTGCCTTCCCTGGAGACTGACTCTGCCTTCCCCCCTCAGATTACAAAGCCTACGAGGATGCAGCGGAGGAGTTTCATCCCTACATCCCCTTCTTCGCCACCTTCGACAGCAAGGTTCTCCTCCCTGCGGCTGTACTGGGTCTCCCTCACTCCCCTCAGCTGCCCTAACGGACCCCTCTCCCAGAATCGATGGGGAAACCCGTCCCTCCCTACTCACCAACACTCCCCACCCCTACCCCACCCCACAGATTTTAGATTATGTAACTTACCCCTCGCATGTTCTACCAAAGCCCAGAGAAGTTAAGACACTTGTCCAGTGTCACAATGGCAGTGACAAGGACCAGGCTGTCTAACTCCCTGCCTGATATCTGCTCCCCCATAATACTGCTTCTTGCCATGACCCCATGTCCCCTGCTCCACTTTGCCTCCCCAAAAAGGTGGCAAAGAAGCTGACCCTGAAGCTAAATGAGATCGATTTCTACGAGGCCTTCATGGAAGAGCCTGTGACCATCCCAGACAAGCCCAACAGCGAAGAGGAGATCGTCAACTTCGTGGAGGAGCACAGAAGGTGGGGAGCACGGGCAATGCTCTGAGCAGGGAAGGCTCCTCCCCAGGCCAGTACACACGTCTGTGAGATTAGCTGGGGGACCCTCAGCCAACCAGGAGGCTGGTCTCCCCTGGAGATGAATACACTTCTGGGTACCAGTGTGCACGGATACACTGGCCATTTTGCACAATATTTTGCAACCCAGCCCTTAGCCGGGAGCTTTACACACAGAAGGTGCTCCATAAATGTGTACAGTTTATTGTGATGTTGGTTGGTTAGAGGGCGTGCTGCTGGTATTTAGTGGGTAGGGGCCAGGGATGCTGCTAAGTACCCCACAGGTCACAGGACAGCCTTCCCACAACAAAGAATTATCTGGCTCCAAATGTCCCCAGTGCTGAGGTTGAGAAACCCTGCCCTACCCGCACACGAAGTTCTCTTCCTTCCCGAGACTCTACAACTGGAAATACCCACTCATCAGTGTAAACACTACTTACTCCACTCTCTCCCACTCGATTATGGTTCCCTTCATCGGGGCAGGAACATGTTTGCCTTGTTCAACTCTGTCTACACAGCACCTGGCACGGTGTTTAGAACATCTCCGACACTCGATTTTATTGAATGAATGAGTGAGTGAGTGAATGAATGAACACCCAGATGTTCAGTTCTTCCTCCCAAAAGTCTCTCTTCCAGTCCCCTTGCCCACCCTCCACTCTCCCACCTCCTTTAACCATGCAGTGAACTGGGCCTGGTGCCCAGAGCTTAGACTTTGCCAGATGGCTTTGTTCCAGGCTACAAGCTAGCTGTCTGTGCCCTAGGCATGACCCTGTGGCAGCCTCTGCTGCGGGGACCCTTTGGAGGGAAGGGTGTCCTTCTCACCCACTGAGCAGTGACTTTCTGTCTCTTCTAGATCAACCCTGAGGAAGCTGAAGCCTGAGAGTATGTATGAGACCTGGGTGAGTCCCCCTGGATGGAGCTGGGCCCTCAGGGGAGCATAAGTGACTGAAGACACCAGCCCTAGAAACATCCAGCCCTGCTGCACCTTGTGTCTAGCTTGTAGGAAAAGCAGGGCACCAGCAAAGGCTGAGGGTTTCTGTTCTGAAGAATGCGACAGGAGTTAGGAGACACATATGAGTTGATAAAGATGACAAGCGGGGAGCCTCAAGCTCTGGGGCTGAAGGGTTTGTCAAAGGAGGGGTGGGGGCCCTAGAGTGGAAGGGAACAGTGTACTTGGAAAAGGGTCACCACCACAAGAATATACCCGATCCAGAAGCTGGGTTTCCACAAAATCTAGGTCCAAGGAAGATGGGGGTGGGGTCCTGTTCTGGGCTCCCTAGCTTCAGGGAGTGTCGCTAAGGTCTCCCCTCCACCTCCCACCCCCTACAGGAGGACGATCTCGATGGAATCCATATTGTGGCCTTTGCAGAGGAAGCCGATCCTGGTGAGGGAGGAACACTGGGTTGGACCTGGGGGCGGGGGCTTTGGTGAGAGAGGCAGACAGGGTGCTGGTCAGAGCGTGGGCTTTTGACACATGAAGTGTGTCTTTTAGAGCATAGTTTGCAAGCAGCCTGCGGAGAGGCCTGTGGAGTTGTGGGAGGCAGGGAAAGAGAACTAGACTCCTGTTTCCTGTATGCCCCATCTCACACTGATCACTTGTGTTCCCTCCAAGATGGCTATGAGTTCTTAGAGACCCTCAAGTCTGTGGCCCGAGATAACACTGATAACCCTGATCTTAGCATCATCTGGATTGACCCTGATGACTTCCCCCTGGTAAGAGACATCACTCAGGCACTGCTGTCCAAGCAGGGTCTCGGACTGTGGCACTTCCTGAGGGGAGCTTGTGTCTGAGTTCCTATCCCATCTCCAAGCAGGAAGACCCTGTTGCATGCTCAAGAGCATGGTGGGGCATGGAGGGCGCCCTGAGAAAGGGGAAATGGGAGCGGGGAGTGTGGGAACGACACGATTTCCAGAGCAGAGGCTGGGCAGGCAGCTCATGTGCCTAGGGCTGGCTCCTTCTAAAGAAATCCAGAGTTTTGGGGAACAGAAGGGCACATTAACTCTGCACATGGGTGTACACAATCGCGGAATCAAAGCACAGAGATTCCACATCTCAGGGCATGGATTTTGTTTCCCAGCTGAGTCACCAACAACTAACACTGATGAAAGGGGAACTAGATGAACAAGCCGAAATTACAGAGATTGGAAATTACGGAGTATAACTATCTTAGTTAAGAGATGCAGGAACTGAGGGCCAGGGAGAAGTGACTTGCCCAAGGTCACAAGTTCAATCAGCAGCAGATCCAGGACCAGAACGGGGTTTCCTCTGTAGCTTTCCTCAGAAAAGAGGGCCCAATGCCCCCAGCTGAACCTCCTGAAACTTTTGTTTTGGGATATCTACCCTCTAATTACTTATTTCCACCCATCCCCTTCAGGCCCTACAGTTGGACCCATCTGCCACCCACCATGGGTTCCAAGGGTCCTCCCCATATCCTCCACTAAGTTGCCATATGTGGTCTCTCTACAGCTGGTTCCTTACTGGGAGAAGACGTTTGACATCGACCTGTCAGCCCCACAAATAGGGGTCGTCAATGTTACTGATGTGAGTTTCCTTCCCTCATCTCTGTTTGACCAGCAACTCTGCTTCCCAGCATAGCTAGCTCTCTGCTCTAAGGAGGAATTGAGCCTGTCACACAGGAATCAGACACACCCAGTCTAATGGCTGGGTAGAGGGAGAGATTCCTGCCCTGAACACACCCCTGTCTCTACTTGTTGCAATCAGCTGCTCATCCTTCAAGGCCCAGTTCAAATCTTCCCTTCTCCATGAAGTCTTTCCAGATCTCACATTTGGAATCATTCCCTCCTTGGCACTCCCAGAGCCCATTTGTCATTGAGAACATGACTTTTATATAGTTATTTATGTATCATGTCTGTCTCTTCCAGTAGACTTTGAACTTCTTGAGGGCAGAAATCTTCTCATTCACATGTAGCAGATGCTTCAGAAACATTTGCTGAGTTGAATTGAATAAGTCACAGTCTGCTTTCATATAATTCTCAGTCTAACTGGGGAGGTAGGCAGGTATTCTGTTAAGTACCAGGCCAGATCTGATGAACTCTATAATAGAGATACAAGTAAAATGCCGGGAAAGCACAGAAACCACAGTAATTTCTGCTTGAGAATCAGAGAGGGTTTAAAAGGTGTAACATTTAAAAAGTGGAGATTGTTGTAAATCAATTGGACCTCAAGGAAAGAAATAAATTTAAAAATTATTTAATCAAATAAAAAGATAAAGTGGAGATTGTCCTGTGTACAGGAGTTTTACAAGTGAAAATCATAAGAAGTTATTTCCAAACTGACGGAAAAGTTAATACAAAAGGTCAAAAAGTAGGAAAATGATTATCAGGTTTGGGGAAAGGCAGGTAGTTTTTTATGGCTTAAGGGTCTAGAGAGCTCTGAGGATGGTGCTGGAAAAGCAGATTTTGTAAAGTCTTGAATGTTAAAGAGTTGCTGACTTCATTCTCTGGGCCATGAAGAGTTCCAGTGGTTTTGCATCAAGGGCATGATTGGTCTGTTTTAGGAAGTTCAGCATGGCAAGGGCTTGTAATAACGAAAGGAAAGGAGAAAGTGTATTTGCTGATCCAGCCATTCTTTCTGACCATTGTCACTATTCTGACCTAGACCTTTACCTGAACAGCTTCCCTTTCCACTGACAGATGAAGAGAAGGGACAGAAGAGGCAGGGAAGGATGTGCAGAGTCCAGTGAGTGGGAGGGCAGGTCTAAAGACCTGAATCAGGCTTAGCTCTGGTCCCCTCCCTGTGCCGTGTCCTAGGCGGACAGCATATGGATGGAGATGGATGACGAAGAGGACCTGCCTTCTACCGAGGAGCTGGAGGACTGGCTGGAGGATGTGCTCGAGGGTGAAATCAACACAGAGGATGATGATGACGATGATGACGATGACGATGATGACTAGCTGCTGTAACAGCTATCTCCCAGCTCCAGCTGCTCTCGTCATGCTCCCTCCTGCCTTCCCTGTCCTTCCCTGAGCTCTTCCAGGGACACTAGGTCATTCTCTGCCATGGCGCCCACTGGGGTCTGCATGTTGGGTGCTGAGATCCTGATCCTCCTCACCTGATAAGGAAAGGAGCTGCTTTTCACACACCAGCCCAGCTATCTCATCTGACTTCTGTTTCCTCTCCCACAAAGTCCCTGTATCTATTATTTGTTTCTTCCATCACTCCCTACACGCTTTCTTGTGACTTCCCTCTTGCCATATCTATAGGCTCCCATCTCTCTTCTGCTCCCTCCACCTAAACATACTCTTCCCTTACTCTCCCAAATCCTATATCCTTCTGACTTTCCTATCCCTGGCCAGGAGGACAGGAGGGTACTGTGTTTCGGGCTGTATCTCAGCAATCTCTTGTTAATGTATTTGGGTCAAATGAGAGACCTCAATAAAGGAACTGGGGCAGCATGAGCAAGTGTTCTGCTGGTGAGGTCTCACCCCTATGGTAGGAGGGAGGCAGCCAGAGGATGGGGGATTTAGGTGTGGGTGCCTAGTTAGGGGCCTGTGATCAGAGGGGGATGGGGCTTCTCCCTCTGGGCAGTGATCCCAGAGAAGCTTGGGCTATTTATCTGCTGCAAGTCAACAAGCCTTTTCTGAACACATGGTGTTTGTCCAGCACCGCTATTAGGCTCTGGGAGAACAGAGAGTGCCGGGCCTGTCCCTGCTCTGGAGCTGATTAGCCTTCCTGGGAAGTCAAGACAAGCACACGAAACAATTGAAGAAAAATATAAAGCAATATGTAATTAAGTGATTATGTGCTGCTTGATAGCACCCTCCCTGAAGCTCTTATTTGAATGTCAAGACTGAGCCCAAATAACACTTCCTCGGTGAGGCCTTGCCAGAGGTGGCCCCTCCTGCAGTTTCCTCCTTTGGGGTCCCACTGCACTCTCTCTGGGACGCCTCTACTCCAGCACTCGGTGCAGTCTAGCCTGGCTCTTCATTGACATGTCTGTCTTGCCCAGTGAGTGAGCCCCTTGAAGGCAGAACCCCAGGCTTTTACTCTGTGTCTACAGGGCCTGGCACACAAAAAACAGTCCCTAATAAATGTTTGTTAATAGAAGGAACAAGTAAATAGAATGGCCTCAGAAGAGAGAGATGAGGGTGGGCTCTGATGGTTTCATAAAGGAAGTGAGCATTTTCTACGCCTTACATGAAGAGTGGGATTTGACTGGGGCAAAGGAGTTGGGGAGGGGACATTTCAAGCGCTGAAAACATCAAAAGCGCTGGCAGAAAGTGTGTACCATGCTGGAGGCATGGAAGAGACCAAAGAGACAGAAGAAGTTCAAGTGGTGGCTGTAGGTTGAGTGGAGAATGGGGCTAGGTTGTAGAGCAGTTAGAAGTAAATCCTGTGAGCTGGGGAGGAAGGGCAAAACTGAATCTGGCAGTGATGAGCAGGATGGATAGAGGGAAAGAAGATGGTGGAGATAGCAGAGGTGGGAGTCCAACCCTTACAATCAGACTGTTACAATAATCGGGGTGGAGCTGGGAGAACAGGGACCCGAGTGGTGGTCATGGGAACGCAGAGCAGATGCTGAGTTTTGTGCAGTGGGGATCCCCTAGACCTGGGGCCCACTGGTGCTCCTGGCAGGACGGTCCACATTCTCTCCAGCACAGGCCCAGGATGGGCTACGTGTGAAGGAATCAGGAGGTGGGGTGGGGGAACCAAGCAACTGCACTGGCCTATAACTAACTGATGTTGGTTTTCATGGATCAGGTATATAGGTGTCGCTGGGTGACTGAGAGGATCTCTGAGTATGGAAGAATGAGACCTGAGGTGAGAGGAATTTTCATCCTTCACAGACACCTGGAGAATGTGGCAGGAGTGTAGAGAGGAAACCATGTATTCACCCCACCTGTGCTCACTTAATAAATGTTTAACACATAGTATGGGCACTGGGCCAGTACAGTCACGTTATGGGACGTACTCTCTAGCACAGGTCAGTGGGAGGCCCCAGATTAAATAATGGCTCCCATGTTTGAAGCACACACCTGTGCCGGTCATTAGACCTAAAGTTTCTGAATCTCAGAAGAACCCTGTGAGACAGGCATCGGTGTCCCCATCTTACTGGTGAGGACACTGAGGCTCAGAGGCATAACCTGCCCAAGAAAGGAGCAGGGCCAGCATGAAGCCCAAGTCCCTGTACCTGCTTGCCTCTGCAAGACTGGACCTTTCACTGACTGCAGGCAAGCCGTTTAGCTCCACTGAATCTCAAGGATGGGTCAACACAATCAGTTTTGACCTTACAACACAGAACAAGTGAGATAATAATACGCAAAGGCAAATTATGAGGGTGTGTTGGTCTCAAAGGTACAGTGACAGGGCACACTGGAGGAGAGGGTGGTGAAGGCAAGGAGAAAGGCCGTGAATGCCACAGCAGCAGAACCTCTTTTAGGGACAGAATAGACTCAAGAAAGGAGGGCTCACCTGAGGCTTCCTGAGGGGTCTCTGCCAGGCTGCACCTGGCGGGAAGCCAGGCTGCTCCCGGAAGTGGCACAGACACTGATGGGGCTCAGCCCTCTCTCCCCAGGCCGGGCTTTGCCGGAGCTGAGGGGAGACCCCTTAGGCTAGAGAGAAAAGCAGATGTTTTCCGACCTCTTCCTTTCCTCTTTCAGTCTGGCTGAGAGTCTAGGGGAGGAAAGTCCCTGGGGTGGAGGGGAAGTGAGAGCTGCCATGCTGGGCCTGGCCAGGGGGCAGAGCTAAGAGACAGAGCTGAGTGTGGCTTTGCAAGTTGTCTATATTTGCATGCTGAGTTGCTACTGCTCTTTTTCTCCCCAGGAAATAAAATTACATCATGGTGGGGGGAAGGCAGGAGGGGGTATATTTGGGAAAGGTGAGAGGAACACAAAGAGCCGGCTGGCATCACCCTGGAGAGAGATCTGTGGTTCCAGGGCAGATGAAAGAAGCCCCCTTGTTGTTTCTTGCCCCCGCCCCTTCCTCCACTCCCACCTTTCAAGGTGGATAAATCTGAGCGGTCATTTACTACGGCTCCCCTGAGCCATAAGGAGAAGAAAAGGATTTTTCCAAATACCGAGTCTGGCAGCTAAGAGGATCCAGAGGCCAAAGGCCTTCCAAACCCCTAAGCCCTAACTACTCTTTGCCTCCCAGGGTCCCAGACCCTGTGGTCATCAAAAGGGCATAAGAGGAGGTGGTGTCCCATTGGGAAGAATTAAATCTGAGAACTGGGTTTCGCTGTTCAGGG